GCCTCGCTCAGCCAGTGAGCGGGAACCGGTCTGTATGTGGGATCCGAACCCTCGGCGGGAGCGCCGCCGCACTTCCCAAGCGGCGCACTATCCAGTGCGCCACCGGGCCGGCCCCTGGGGAGCTTTTAAAACATACGGATGCCTTGACCTCACCCAAGAGCAATTAAATCAAAATCTCAAGGTAAGGCCTCAAATAATCAAATTGTGCAGCCAGAATTAAGAGCCACGGCTCCAAGCATTCTACACTGGATAATCTCACCTACTGCCAGGGCATCTACATACCTAGGTGCCAGTTACCACCTGTAGGGTGATGACTCCTGAATCTCTCTACAGAATCTCTCTCCCGTAGCCACATTCCCTTAACCCACTGGTCATCTCCACCTGACACTCACAGGTATCACACTCCTTGTCAAGCTCATTTCTATCTCCTGTGCTCACACCTGGTGTACGGCACCACATCTACCTATGGACTAAGCCAAACCTGAATGCTAACTACAACTCCACCTGTGGCTCGCCCCATTATTAAGTTCAAAATGGAAATCCTGATTTCCCCCAAACTTGTTCCTTCTTTAGCCCTCCCCATCTCAGCAACCACCTACTGTTCAAGTAAAAATTCAAGGGATCATCCTTTTTCCTCTCTTCCCCTCACATCCTGCACATCCAATTCAGTGACTGAATTCACTGTTTCAACCTCCAAAATGTGCCTTAAATCTGTTTCTTTCTATTTCCATTGTTACCATCCTGGACTACTGAAATAGCCTCCTCCCTAGACTCTTATCTTTGGGAAATATTCATCAGATCACATCACTTACCTGCTTAAAATCTTCTAGTGGTTCCCCCTATTGTCTTTTCAAACAAAATTCAAATTCCTTACCTTGGAGTATGAGGACCTACATGATACTATCCCTGCCAACTTCCAACCTCACTCAGCAGTGAGGTCATCTTACAACCACCTTTCAGGGGGCCTACCTAGCCCAGCACCAAGAACAGCAGCCTCCCTCCCGTGTCCTTGGGCAGCAGCTTTGTTTTTAGTAAGACCCAAAATGTCAACAAACAGAATTGGCACCTGGTCAGTCCCAAGTAGAAATGGGAAGGAACCTTAGCTATAACATAAAAGGCCTTCCCTTATCTTGGTCTGTTCCACAATGTCTATCAGTCACTTAGGGGTTTTGCATTGTGATTTCTCCTCTGTCCACCCTCACAACTGCCCGGCTAGACCATATTAAAAAGATGACAGCCACCCATACACACCCACCATACCCACATACCTAAAAAAATAGGCCTAGGTTATTCCCCTAGGAGCACTACCACCTCCAAAGCCCACAGGTAGAAAGTCTAGGCCTTGCCAACAGGGAAGATGAAGTGTGGCATTTTAGAACACATTATCAGGCCTGTGACAGGCTTGGTCTCAGCTCTGACACATCCACTGCAGCCACTCCAGCCCCTGGGGAGCTTTCCGAATGCACATGGGCTTTGCTATCTGTTCTCCTGTCAGTGGTTTCTTTCAGCAGCCCAAGGATGGTGAGGGGAATTTGCAGTGTCTTCCTAATGAAGACAAAGCACAGTGGCTTCTGGGAACAACGAGGAAGATGGGTGTACCTGAGATCTTCACGTTCATAAACGTGCCCTTATTAATCTAAAATTAAAATAAAATACAGACAATGCTTTGCAAATAGCAAGAGATACATGCCTTCTAAATAATTCAACTCCACTTCTTGAAGGAATGGGCATGACAGAGCCTAACGTCAACAGTGCCCAAGCACTTCATATGTGCCTAGAATTAAAAATACATGCCTTCTAAATAATTCAACTCCACTTCTTGAAGGAATTGGCATGACAGAGCCTAACGTCAACAGTGCCCAAGCACTTCATATGTGCCTAGAATTAAAAATGAATCTGTATTTACTCTAGTTTCTACAGATATTTCTCGAGTGTGGAGAAGTAGCAGCATAAGAGAAGAAGACAGTTATTATCTATATGCTGAATGTCTCAGGGCATTCTCCATCTCTGGGAAACAAAAGCCTCCGGTGTAATTCACGTATGGACTTTGGAGGCTCACAGACCTGGGTTTGAACTCTGGCTTTGCCACTTATCTGTGGGCCCTGGGCAGGTTCTTTCACTTCTCCATGCCCCAGTTTCTCTCTCTATAAATTCAGGCTATCACTGCCCCTCTTTGCAGGGTTGTTACGAGAGATTTATGTAGACAGTGGAGGTAAAGAGTTTAAGGCCAGCCTTTACCCAGCACTTGCTGTTGTTACTATACTATTATTATTAGCAGCGATCCTGAGTCTCTTACTGACCTCCTGCCATCTCCCTTTGGGGCCTTTGCCCAGTGCTCCACCTGGGCCAGGCTGCTCATCCTCTGGCTGTGCTTTTCAGTGTTGGTCCTGAGAGGAAAGGCCCGCTGGTAGCTGCCAGTCCCATTCTCTTCTCCTGGGCCGTATGAGGCAGGCAGCCCACCATTCTTCTCTGCCCGCTGGGGCTGTGCCTGCTGGCCTCTTGGGCCACTGGGTAAATCCACAAACAAGGCATCCTCCTCAGCCGGTGAGTAGGGGGACCTGGCCTTGCTCCTGTCCCACTTGCCCTCCAGCAGGTCGCTCTGGGAACGGTACCGTTCTTCCTCCTGCTCCCGCTTCTCAAAACCAAAGGAGTAGTCACGGCCACGATGAGGACAATCCCTCGTGTGTCTGGGTCCCACACGGCCACACTCGCGACAGGACTCTGTGTGGTTGGCCTGGGGGACTGCCTGCCGCTCCACCTTCTCCACGTCCCTGCAACAACAGCAGCACATTCAGCCCACTGCACAGCCAAGAGTCCACGATGAACACACTGTACACTCAGTCACCTCCAGGCTTGTGCACGGGCTATTCCCTCTGTCTAGAATAACTTTCATGCTCAATTCACCCTCATTCAGCCTGCCTGAGTCCTGCTCCTTTGGAGATCTTGCTTAAATGTCACCTCCTCCAGGAAGCCACCCCTGACACATACCCCCAGTCTAGAATGGGACCTTGTACTAACCCCATTGTCACACTAATCACACTGGACCACAACTGTACGTTTACTCATCTGCTCCCATCTAGACTATGAGATCCTTCTTGCCAGAGGCTCAACCGGCTGATCACTGTATGCCCAGAACTTCTGCACAATAACTTTTGCTCTCTATCCATCTGTCTGTCTGGGGCAGTCAAAGCAGAGAAAGCTCCTAAGCCCAGCATCTCTCCCACTGGTGTCTAGCATAGCCCAAAGTACAACTGGCAGTATAATTAACACTCTTTAGAGATGGTGAACAGAGAATGGGCACCTCTTTATATGACCAGTTATCTATCTTATCAGGGAACAGCTCAAACAGGAACCTACAATTACAATGGCCTTTTAACAATTCTATGAAGTATATTAGTCATATTTTAGAGATAAGAAAACTGGAAACTGAGGCAAAGGGAAGATCAATGATTTGCCCAAGATCAATCAGCTGGAGCAGAGTGGAACCAGAGCTTAAGCCCACGTAGACTCCAGAGCCCATGTGCTTTAAAGTCTCCACCCTCTAATCTCTCCATGTGTGTCCATGACCTAGACACATGCAAACCTAGTAACGGTAAAGGAGAATGGGGTGGTGAGAACTGAGGCTAGAGAAGGAGCTTTTGGGAATAGTGGAGGGCTCTTCTTTCGTGACCTGTGTCCCACTGTAAGCCACCTCTCCCTGCCTCCTTGGGGCAGGGTCCTACTTATATCTGCATCCCCATCACCTGGCACAAGGGACACAACACCGGCTCCATGAGCTTTGCAGAATTTAGATTGGGAGGCAGGGGAACATACTCTACCCTAGCCCAGATGGACCAGAAAAATGAGCAGAGACCCTTAGATGGGGCAGTTGTACTCCTTGGTAAAATGATCCTGGCCTTAAGATCCATCACACCTCGAAATGGCCTCACCAGAGGGGTCTCCATTTCAACATGAAAGTATATAATAAAAATGCTGCTATATTTACATCTCAATGGTCAGATCCCAGACATCCTTGCAACAACCTCAGAACTTCAGCTACCAATAATCAGCACAGATTGAGAAATAGTTAGAATGTCAATAAAAAGTGAGAATAAGACCCCTAACACAGGGTCTGCTTCTTAGTGTGTACAGGCCTAACTGCCGGCCTTAACTTAGGCATGGAGAACTAAGAAAAGCAATCACACTTCTCACTGTCCATGTACTTGTGCCTTTTCCATGCTTTGCTTTCCCAAAGCCTACTTTCCCAAGTTTTGTGGAAAAGAAAAATAATGCTTCTGTGGATTTCCTTTTATCTATCACTAAGAGGCATCTTTCCTCCCCACCTACTGCCCTTCTGATAACAACATTTCAATTTTCATTTGGGGATCAGCCTTCCCCACCCTCAGTCCACGTGGTTAGGGTGCTGCTGACTCTACAACTCCCTGTTTAGCTGAGGCTCCAGTGACTCAGTGATTGATTCAGGGTTTGACACATGACCCAATCCAGGCCAATCAGAGTTAGCCCTGATTGAGGGCTAACCAGCTCAGCTGGAGCTGGTCTTGAGCTGTTGCAACTTTGTGGGAGATGCTGTTTGATAATGAAGCCAACACCAAGGAGAGCAGATGGAGAGAAACAGAGTCCTAAAGACTAGGCCTGAGCTCCTAGATCTAGCCATCCATAAACCAGATACATTCTTGGACATTTTGGTTGTGAACCAATAAATTTCCTTTTTCACTTAAGTTGGTTTGCATTTGATTTCTGTTACTTATACCGGAAGGAGACCTGCATATTATTGCTATTTTATAATAACATACTGAGACAGTAATCTCTGAGGGCCCTTCCATCACTAACACTCAGTGGGTCTACAAGCTCCAGTAGTAGGAAAATATGGGAAATAACCTGCATATTATTGCTATTTTATAATAACATATTGAGACAGTAATCTCTGAGGACCCTTCCATCACTAACACTCAGTGGGTCTACAAGCTCCAGTAGTAGGAAAATATGGGAAATATTCAAGGGCCTATACGTAAAGAAAAAGCAATTCTTACTGTACGCTTATAAAGGGACAACTCTGTTCCACAGTGTGCACATTATAGATTTTAACTTTATCTTTCCTTTCTTCCGTTAGTCCTCCACATCAGTGTAACCCTAACTGGCAGGCTTCACGTTGCCTAAGTTGGCCTTTATCTTCTTTGCTGTTTCTCAGATTCAGGAAGGCACTCACGGAGGGTGTGCTAAGGCTGCTGTCAAGATGGCTCACACTCTGGCCAGGCCACTTAAGCTTTGTAACTGGGCACACTGCTTTGGTTTCACTTGCTCTGGTATTTCCAATTGGTTACTCCAACTGTGAAACCCAAGTAACTGTATCTCCTTGTTCACATCCAAAAGATAAACAGCATATTGTTATAAAAGCTAGATAGTGAAACAAATATGCCACCTACATGTACATGTATGACTTTAGAATTGAAGGGAAATGAGGGCTTCTTCAACTCCAGGACCCAAGGACTGTGGGTGCAATGTCTTAGCCCAACTAACTATAATCTGGATTTTTCTTTCTTTACTAATCAATTTCCACTGGGACAGGCCCTTAGGGATATAATAAAGTAGTAGAGAAAACACCCTCCACCTTCAAAGCCAGATGACCCTAAAACCCAATTTAATCATGATAACCACATTTAATACTGTTTTCATAAACAACTCACTCCCAAATCATAGTTTGCTAGTTTTCTCTAACCTTGGAACTAATTTTATAACCATAAATCTTAGTCCTTACTGTGTTTGTACATATGAGTATACACACTCCCATATATGCCAGTACTTCCTGGAATTAAGTTTGATAGGAGATAATCCTTTTCTTCAGATTAATACCAGCATCTACTGCAAAACAAACCTTTAGAGGGTGGCTAGAAGAATGGCAGTCTGCTTGCCACCTGGCATTTTTCCAGGACCTATGACTGTGAGGTTATGACCAGCTCCTTATTACCATGGCTCCTGGGATTTACATAAGATGTGCCTTTGTGCCCCAAATGTTCAGGCTCTGGCTGCAGGTAAGAAAGGTGAAGGTAATATTCCCTACTCCCCCACCTTACCTGACTTAAACATTTAACTTACTGAGTTGTGAGATTTGAAGCCAAAAATTTTTTTTTTTTTTTTTGGTCTTCTCCCTGTCTCCTTGTATTCCCAACATTTTAACACATGACTTCTCAAATCAGGAGACTTGTCACAAAGGAGATCATTGAGTGAGTACAATGGTAGAAAAGAATGAAGCATCTTCTGGCTGTCAATGACTATGTCATCCAGAAGACTTGGCCATGCAGAGCATAGACATTTAGCTAAGATGACATAAGCCTTTCCCAGATGGGCTGCTATTCCAGTGCAGGTTATTGCTATCAGGGTGAATACCTGGAATCAGTGACTGTTCAAAAACACAAGGAATTCTTGACATTCAGTGACCACTTTGGCTATATGTGCCATGTTTTGAAAATGACAAACCCAGAGGACATAGAATCGAGAGTCAATTGGACCTGGATTCAAGGACTGGCTCCACCACATATAAGCTGGGTGACCCTGAGCAAATGATCTCTCTGGTCTCAGGTTCCTCATCTGTAAAACGGGATAACAGCCCCTGCCTCTGGGTTTTGGTGAGGATTAAAGGAAACAATGCACAGAAAGAACAAAGCACAGTATGCCTTTAAATACAAACGCCTGACAACCCAGTGTGTATTCTCTCATTCTCTGCCCTAATTTTTTCAAAGTGGCAATACCCAGCAAAAAACTTACATTGTAGCTGAGGGTGATCTTGTGACAGGGTTCTGGCCAATAAGATGTAAGCAGAAATTGCTAGGTCTAACCCTTTTCTTTTTTCTGCCTGGAATTTACTCTCTGCTGGACTGCAACGTGACAAAAATGAGAAAGAAAGTCACATGCTAAAACCTGGGTAGAAAATGATAAAGAGCCTGGGTCCCGGATGGCACCAGGGAGCTACTACACCAATCTGGACTACCTACCTCTGGGTTCCTGTTGTGTGAGAAAACTAAAACCCAATTTGAGTATGCCATATGCCACCCTAACTTGGGTTGTTCTATTACTACCAACCAAATGCAATCCCTGACCGATGCAAGGGGCTAAACTTATCACTGGCTGGGGTTGGGCCCTCATTTTCAGCACCTCACAGAATGTTGTGTCTTCCTACAGCAAATTCTTATTCTCTCCTGCAAGTGGGAAGAGTGCATATCTCAGACTGGGGATACTTTCTCTTATTCCTTTTCTTCACAAGAACTTGGAAGTTAACAGATCTTTCCAAGAAATTGTGCACTGATTATTATTTTATTCTGCCTCCAAACCCTTGAGCTCAACAGAAAATAAGGGATAATATTTCCCTCTATCTTAATGCTAAACACACCCCCCAACACACACATTAAATCTCATTCAAAGACTGAGGTGGGAAGAGGAATGACAGCTTGTAGGAGTTTGGCCAAACTGTGGTCCTGTTGGCAGACACAGCCCTGCTATTGTAATCCCACTGGAAGAGTCCCTCCCCACTCACCTTACCTGAAAGACCAAACTAGCAGTCCAAGAACAAGGGCCAGGCCACTGATATTTTTGGACAGTTTGATCTGGTCCAGTCCAGGTGGCAGAAGTCCTGCCATGGGAAACCAGCTCAGCCTGTGTTGACAGATCCTGAGTCCTGAGCACTGATCTCTACTCTCAGGACTAGGGTAGGCTCAAAAATCAGACCCCATCCTGAGCACAATCAATATACTTGTACCAAAGGCTCAAAAGAAAGGGG